TATGACGAATAAATTTTCATCATGCAGCATTTCAGTTCTGATATTTCGTTTTCTCTGTCTTTTTCTTTTTATTCCTCTTTCTCTCTCGTTTCGTCTCTCAAGATAAAAAAATTACTTTCGAAGTCTGCTTCCTGGTCACACGCGGTTAACTCTTTTTCTTCCGTTTTTCTTTAATTCAGCTGATTTTCTTCTATTTACATTTGAAACACTGGTCTCTCACTGGCCTCGGAATGTTCACCCACTGGATTCGTATTAAATTTTCGTTTTGAGTACGATCAACGTTTTGGTTTGCGTATCAAGTGTACTAACAATCATTTTTATTGATTACGCAAATCCTCGAGTCGTTTACGATTGTTTTAATTTCAATTGTTATCCGACGCCTCTACCGCGAATATTTCGGACTTTTTCATATGTAGAGCGGAGAAATAAATCATTCGAATCGAGAAGAGTTGACCCCAATGTAGGAGCCCTGCAAACAATTAATATAATGATGGGTGCACTTATAGATCATACACGGGGCTTAGAAACTCCCCCAAGTTTCGTCGATGCAACGAACTAAGCGTCATCTTACAACTATGTCGAGAATTAGAAACGTTGTAAACTTGAATGGCCATATTGACCCACTTTTTGAATTTACAATAAAAAAAGCATATAATTATTTTTCAAATTGAATTTATTTTTATTGTTAAATTGAAAAAAGTACTTAAATACTTTCTTTTAATTTTATGTACATCCTGCTATATTTTCATGAACTATAGTAATTATACGAATATTAAAATAATTACTTTATTATAAATAATAATTTAAATCTAAATCATAATTTTCATATTTAAAGTTATTTGTGTTTGTAATAAAATAATAGGATCATCGATTAAACATTTAAAAAATTGTTTCATGTAAACTGTGTAACTTGAATTTGATATATTTCACATTGTCGTATGTGGGATTACCGACAGTGGTTATCATACAGTGACATTTGATATTTTGTTAGAAAATATCGTTACAAAAACAATATAACCATGTTATTAGTACTTTTTTTTTATTATAATATACAATTGTTAAAGATTCTAACATTTAATGATTCTTTTAAAAAATAACTATATTGTTTTACTTCTATATCTTTTTGAACTTTTTCAAAACAATTATAAGATATGAATTATAATTTATTAATGTTAGAATTTTTTTCATTCTGGAGAATTTTATGTCTCGTATTGGGAGTCACTGTGACAGGGTTTTATGATGCGATGTTCAAGGGAAACGATATGTTACATGGATATCACACGTCAGAGAATATGTGAATGGAATACTTTCCTTAAGAAGTCGATCAATTTTTTTTCAAGTGAAAAAAAGCCATAGCAACTCATTTGAACCTAATTTAAAAAAAAGTCTAATTGATTAATTTTTCTATTTTATTATTTCAATCGACTATTAGCTACCTGATTTGATAATTTAATTAACTTAATTAGGTGAAGTATTCTATTTTTCATCGTGTGCCTCGATTTAGGCATTGTCGTTGCTTTTTGAAACGTATAGATGTAAAAAGACATTCTTTTCATATAATTAAATTACCATTATTATTTAATTAAATTACTAACGGTGCGTCGTGATTTTCTTCTCGCAGCGTTCACTAGGGAATCAATGTACGACGATTAAATTTGGTAAGTGACTAATTTTATTCGATTTTACTTTATGATTAATTTTTATTCGATATCAAGTTATATTTTTTTGATTTTTAGGAATATGAGATGGCCAGACTTGTAACGAATTTAACCATTTATTTATGTCTACTATATAGTATTATTAGTGCTAATGAGAATGATGATAATGTTGATCAAAATGTAGCATCTAAGGTGGTTTATAAGACACCTGAGATTTCAGGTTTCGCATATTTGGTAGAAACATTTGATGATGAAGAAAAGTTTAAAAAATCTTGGATTATATCAGAAGCCAAAAAAAACTCTATAGATGAAGATATAGCAAAATATGATGGTTATTCTTTTATTTTTGATTTTAATTATTTATGTATACTTTAATGACATAAGACTATAATGTATATTATTTATGTAGGAATTTGGTCTATAGAAGAACCAAAAAAGCATGCACAAGAAGGAGATTTAGGATTAGCCCTTAAAAGCAAAGCCAGACATGCTGCTATATCCACTATATTATCAAAACCATTTTACTTCAATGATAGACCATTAATTGTACAGTATGAAGTAAATTTCCAAGATGGCCAAGAATGTGGTGGTGCTTATTTGAAATTGCTTACTTTAGATCCAGAGCATCAAGATTTAAAAAAATTTCATGATAAAACTCCTTATACTATAATGTTTGGCCCTGATAAATGTGGAAATGATCACAAGGTACATAACACAAAAAATATTAATTTTACAAAATTGTATTAAATTAATTAGAACTAACTGCTTTTCTTTAATTTAGTTGCATTTTATTTTTCGACACAAAAATCCTTTAAATGGTTCCATAGAGGAAAAACATTGTAAAAAACCACGAGAGCGCTTAGAAGATTTCTTTAAAGATAAGCAATTTCACCTATATACTTTGATCATCCAACCAGACAGTAGTTTTGAAATCAAAGTTGATAATAAGATAGTAAATTCTGGATCCTTGTTGGACGATTTTACTCCTCCAGTTAATCCACCTTTGGAAATAGAAGATCCTACTGATGTTCAGCCAGAAGACTGGGATGACAGAGAAAAGATTCCTAATCTATTTGCTGTCAAACCAGATGATTGGGATGAGGATGCTCCAGCACAAATTGTTGATGAAGATGATATTATGCCTGAAGGATGGCTTGAAGATGAACAACTAATGATTCCTAATCCTGATGCTATCAAACCTGAAGATTGGGATGTTGAAATGGATGGAGAGTGGGAACCTCCAGAAATTCCAAATCCAAAATGTGTAGATGCACCTGGATGTGGACCATATAAGCAAAAAATGAAAAAGAATCCTCGATATAAAGGCAAATGGTCACCACCTTTGATTAACAATCCTAATTATAAGGGAAAATGGAAGCCAAGGCTAATACATAATCCTAATTACTTCAATGATGAAAATCCATTCCAGATGATGCCTATTGTATGTTTTCATACATTATAATTTGCACAAAGTTTTGGATATTTTTCGAATGTGATTAAATATTTGTATTTGTAGTGTGCTGTGGGCTTTGAATTGTGGTCAATGTCTACAGACATCCTTTTTGACAATATTCTCATTACTGACAGTGAAGAAGTAGCAAAAAAATGGACAGATGATACATTCAAAGTACGTCGTGCTAGAATTGCAGAGGAGAGTGTACGTAATTCCTTTTTCCATCTAAAGGAAAAATAATGTAACATTTACTCAAATTAAATTTATTAAGGTCTATGGTAAAATTAAAAGAGACTTAATTTTCACGAAATGTGCGATACATGTACGCTATGCTATGCAGGTAACTTTATGGGGTCGCATATTGAAAGCAACAAATTATAAACCAGGTTGGTGGGCGTTGTATTTTATATATTGCGCAATACCAGTCACATTTTACATTTGGTATCTACTGAAACGAGTTCGTGAGGTATATTTTGTGACTTCAGATGTGCAAATTATTTGCTTTCTGTAATATTGATATAAACCCGTAACAGTACAATGGCTACCTGTTTCTTTAATAGCAATGTATCCACATAGATTCTTCACATATAGTATAAAAACTGTACATATTTCTCACCTATAAATCGTACAAAATAGTAGTACAAAGTATGAAAAAAAAAACAAAAAAAAACAAATGTAAATATTTAAAAATTGATTAATCTATAGGAAATTTGTTTTAGCAATATATAATTACATTCAATGTAAACTATATGAGTGTAGAATTTGTTTTTAAGCCATATCATTTGTAACTTTATAATTATTTTATACAGTGGAGTATATGGCGTCAAATTGGCATATTTACTGCAGAACATCCCTGGATGTGGGGTATATATATAATAGCTCTTGGCTTTCCCATACTGCTAATTATGTATTGTTGCTGTTTTGCTTCTCAGGTATAAAAAAAATTATCAGCTTTTAAGTTATATGTTTTGTACATTCATAGTAACTATATAAAATGCATACAATATTTTTATTTCGTAGTAATATTACAAATCTTATAACAGTAGATTTATGCTAATTACAATAATCTGTTAAAATTGACTTTTGCTTTTTTGGGAATACATATTTAGAATTAATCATGCAAAAATTTAGTGATCTTATAACATGTAAAGTTTATGAATTTTTGTTTAGGATAAATACGATTTAAAAGACGAAGATAAACAACCTTTAGAAGCAAATGAACAAACAGTACCAAAACAAGAAAAAACTGAAAATCTACTGTCTAGTACTAAAACAGAGGAAAACACTGAAAAAGTGAATGAAAATGAAGAAATTCTAGAAAGTGAAGAGAATGTTAGTAAAAAATTTTTGCATCCATTGTAATAAAAATAATTTATTGTTGCTATGTAATTTTTAATTCATTTTCAGGATAAACCAGCAATAGGCGGCGATGGGCCGCGTCGAAGAAAACCAAACAAAGAATAGAATGAATTAAAACTAAGTGAAAGGAATTCGTACTATTAAGGTATTTATGCAACACTCACATTCCACTTGAACACTTGTCATTGTGAATGTTAGGATTTTTTCAGTATCTAATTACATGCAATACAATTTCACTAGGAGCCAAATTTTTATCTATTTAATTAGGTATTTGGTTCTTGTGTGTAATTTTTCATCAAATTATACTTTTTAAGCAAAATAATTTTCACATTGAAGCATGTTTCTCACGCGTATGAATGATATAAATATACTTTACAAAAATAAACAACAAATTTGTAAGAATGATGTTGGATGTAACTATATATGCCTTGATGATATCTAGCAATGTAACCTTTGTTATAGTACATTAAAAAGAAATTAATAATAGAATAGATTTATTCAGTTTCTGTACAATAACAAAGCAGATTATGTGTACTTTTTTAAAAAGTTCAAACAATTGTGTTGACTAATTTTTAATATGCAATTCATATAGGACTTCTTAATATTAGCAGTTACTGTTTTTCATAAATATTTATAATATTATTCGATGTAATGATCTTTCTTAAATAATGTTTCATTCCTTTGCCATTATGTTAATAAAGTGTACAATGTAAATGAAATAATTTCATGTATTATATGATGTTGTATTATTTATAATTTAAGTTTCAAATTGTTTAACACTGAATCTATTGATAATTTATATTATCCTCTTTCTATTGAACTGGTCACATGACAGATTTACAAATAAAAGCTATATTTTTTATAAGTGGATGCAGATAGTAGTCAATTTAGTGCAAGCAATTATAAATAAATAAAATAATTTTTACATAATAACAAACGAAATTAATTTTTTTCATTTGAGTTTTAAACAAAAGTAGAACATTGTTTATATTTTAAATTTTGTATTTAAAATAACAGTAACAGTTTTTTGTACATTTACTAAGTAATAAATATCTCATTCTTGTTCACCACATTTTACTCAAATTATGGATTTCGTCATTATAATTTTTCCAAAAGTATATTTTTCACAGATTTTGGTAATTTTATGACCCTTATAATATCTTTTTTGCATATCATAAATATTTCAGTTGGTCAGATGATCGATCGTGGTAGATGAAGCAGGTTACAAATCTCAAAGAAACGGAATAGGAAGAAAGATATCGAGTAATTGCTTGTATGTATGTATGTATATAATAAAAAAAGTTATGAAGTTAAGTGACGAAAGCGATAATATTAAGCGCAGTTTAAAGACGATTATTTAATCAGTTATCTACAATCGGTGGTAGGTTTAGTGTCAAAAATAATCAAATGAATTCGTGTTCAGTAAATTTCTATTTTACTGTGTGTAGAACAGATCAATGCCATTTTAAAGTTCAACTAAATTGTATAATTTTTTGCTTTTTTTTTTTATTAAATTGTTCTTTTATCATACATAAATGTAAAATATCAAGCTGAATTTTATTTTTGAAAGCACGTTTTCCTAATCTTAAAAACAAAATAGTATCTATTGCTATTTGTGTATCTTATAATGAAGCATCAAATAAAAACAGTCTTCTTTATAAAAAGGGTGTGATTTTGTCCCCATAGAAGAATAATTACAATAATATAATTTTTGTTCAAATATTAAAATAAAATTGTGTTTTTATTTTTAATACTTCTCTGCGCGCGCGTATGTGTATGTGTTTTTTTATTTAAGATCAATACTTTCGTTCAAATATAAAATGTACAATTCCCTATTAATAGTTTCCATTGAAGCAAATTTCTGAGTTTATGTTACAATTTCCTTACTTCTACCTTAATCTTACATTATCTAGTCACCATTTATAATATACATTTTAGGTACAAGTTACAAATTTAAATAAATGTTTGAAAGGATTAATTTAGGGACTAGTAGAAGGAATACTGGAATTCTGTGTACATGACTCACAAGTAGGCACTGCACGTTGCGAATGATGTCCAGCAAGAACAGTACGCACACCCATGCATCTTATGCATAATACCTCTCCACATGACCAACAATGATGCTGATAGAAACATATTTTTAATATTAAATTAAATTTTAAATTGTAATATGTTTAACTATACCTTTCTATTAAATGCATCAAATGTAGTAGAGCACACACATTCTTCCATGTTTCGAAACAATTTCCAGTCCAAAGCAACTGTTTTCAGTTCGTTTTGTAATTCATTAATTTTTAATTTGCACTTTGCTTTTTCTTCGTGATTTGGTGTATTCTCTATAATGGTTTCAGATAATGAATCCTTTGTAAATTTATTATCAAAGTTTAGCTTTCCTTGTACCCCCCCCTTTTTTTGAATATTATTTATGTTCAATACCGAAGTCAAGGAATTTACTCTCTGTTTAAAATTTAAAACAATATTACAAATTCAGTACATAATAAAAGTTGCTAAATAACATTTGTACCTTTACAAGGAGCTTAACATGATCTTCTAAGCTGCTAGTATGGTCATGCATTATTAAAAGAAAATCTTCATATATTTCTCTTGGATGAATACCATTTTCAAATCTGAAATACATTCCCCGCCATAAACTGAAAAGTTATTTTATTATGTAGTTCTTATTTATATATTAATTAGTTCATAATTACATAAAATTATATATTACGTGATACACTGTGGTGCTAATTTAGGTTGAAGAACAGAGCTAGTTTGTTCATCAAAACGATTGCATTTGTATAAAGGATTTATATATTCATGCATATTATAAGCAATGTATCCCCATAAAGAATAAGTTCGTTCCGATACTCTAAAAATAATTACATATAAATAATATAATAATAAATAAATTTTTATTGTATAGTACCTGAGGATCTGTCTTTCTTTCTCAGAATTTCCTATGAAAGTACCATATTCACAACTATGTACATGATCATGGAGGGTTAACAGAAAAAGTTCATTAAATTGAAATTTATGAGGATATTGCTGTAACAATTGATATGTTGCATCAATGAACTGTGTAAAAATTGGTGCTAATTCTTTATTATCCAAATTGATGTGACCACAGCGATCACTAAATTTATGTCCAAATGATAACCAGTCTTTCTCTATAAGTGTCTGAAAAATAAAAAAAGTACATAATTCTAATTTTGAAAGCTTCGTTTAAAGATTCATAATAATGAATCACTCCTTACTTGAAAACCTTGAATTGTCCTATAAAATGGATCCAGTAATAGAGCACTTAATGAACATACTTGAGCTGTACGATCCCAACCGTCACTACAGTGTACTACTACACTAACTCCATTTGAAACTGCTCTAGTAATAAACCAAGCAGTCTCTAAAATAGATCTTATATGTTTTAACCATCCACTGCTTTCCAAACCATTTAAAAATGTACTCATTGATGTTGTTCTTTGTACTAGACAATAATTGGAAATATCAAAGTAATATAAAAACAAATCACAAAGAACTTTTAAAATAACATTATACTCACATTCCATTAATTTATTTAAGCTTGTTCTCATTACATGAATATTCTCAATACCAAAAAAGTGAAATTTTATATTGTCATAAAAGTTCTCATTTTCGTATCCTTTTCCTGCAGCTCTATTAGCAAAAGCATTGATCTAAATCGATGAAATAAAAAATTAACTTCTGTGCTTAAAACTACAAAAGAAATTTATTTAAATTAAATATATGATGACTTACTGAGATTGTTTTGTACTTACGCGTGGTCGAGTATCTACAACATACATATATTTAGAATTAGAATTTGTACACAAAATGTTGTACATCATTTGTTCATCCTCAAGACACCGTGCACTGAATCCTGATAAAGGTTGACTACAACGGCAAATAGCAGCCTATAAAGTATTTTACTTAGAAATTGTTTTTCCACATTTTTTCAAGCTTTTAGAGTTAATATGTATACCTTGTTAGAATGTAAATATGTTAAAACTGGTAATCTTCCTCTACTTCTAAATTTTGCACTACCTATCAAGATGCTATTGGCACACATACTAGGCACATACAAATACTTTGGATAAGTATCACAAAGCTAAAAATTAAATTAATAAACTTTCAAAACATGTTTATAAGTTCTATGAAATATATTCTAAAAATTTGTACCTCATAATTTGTATTTAGATACGTCAGAGACCACTCTTCATTTGGGACACCTTGTCTTTGAAATTCACTTTGAATGTTGAAAAAATTCCATCCTGTATGTTGTTGTAAATTATCCTTATTTGGCTGATAATTAAAACAATATAGATCTTCCAAATTTACTGAAAAAAGAAACATCCAATGTTAGACAAATTTCTTAAATTGTTTTTACATAGAACAATATTCACCTGGACAAGACAACTTTGATAGTGTAAGATATATATCATGACAGTCTCGTTCTTTTGGAATAATAAATGTTACAATAAAAAAATGTTTACACTTAATACATAATGGAGAGCCTGCTGTAGTTAATGGTTGTTTTTCTATATTTGCAATATGAGTATACAATACCTAAAATGGAGAAATATTAAGAATATTTATATTAACTAGAAACAAATAAAAAAATAAACAAATAGTTATATTATGATAATTATAATAAAAATTTATTATTAAAGATTTATCATACCCAGATTTTCTTTTTTCCACTTCGTTCCATAAATACAAGATGCCTTACAGTTAAATAAAGAGTACCAATGGAATGATTGTTACTATATTTATCTAGAATCCTTACATTTTCCACCTATAATCATACAATTTTTACCGATAATGACAGGTGTCATAACCCGATTATTTGTTTTGGCATTACTCTACATTTCCAAATTATCAATAAATACGTATTTTATAAAAAATATACATTTATCACAAATAAATAGACAATAAATGATATTTATATTAATTTTAATATTCTTATATAGTAACGATTATTTTATTTTCTTCCATTGATCTCTAACTAATACGTAACAAAATACATTGATGAATGACATATTGACAGATGTTTGTAATTATAATTTAAAATTCATTTAAAATAGCTTTCTGATAAATGAAACAACTGTTTGTTTTGATACCTTTGAGATCTTTATTTGATCCATTTCGTTCTGTCCGTTTGTAACTATTTACACCTGACAAACCATCTGACGGATTATAATTTGAATACCACTGACTTATCATTATTGCAGTGGTTCTCCACCTATTTTTATAAAATATTAAAAAAGATATTTTTATTACTTCGTGTATAATTAATCATAAATTACATGAACGTAGTTTATTATAGATTTCATAAAAAAAAGTTATATTAACATTATTGTTAACTTTCCCATTCTTTAAATTTCGATTTTTTTATACGTTGGTGGTAGATGGCAGTAGAGGAATAAATATTAAGATAAAAGGTTATTTAGTTTTCGGCTAAAAAAAATTTATAATTTTAGAATATTAATAAATTTTTGTAATCAATCAAGTGCAAGTCGTTTAATAATTAACAATGAGTAACAAGACTGGTAACACAGGTGAGTATTCTTCATTAATTGTCTAAAAATGTTATTTGTTGTAACAGTACTACTTTTTTAGGTGAAGTAGATCCTATACAGGAAGAGCTAGCTGGTCGTGTACGAGAAGTTGGAAACCATGCAATTTGGAGTTTATCCAGTTGTAAGCCTGGTTTCGGTGTAGATCAGTTACGTGATGATATCACAGAGACTTACTGGCAATCTGATGGACAGCTTCCACATTTAGTAAACATTCAGTTCAGAAGAAAGACCACAATACGTGATATATGTATATATACAGATTATAAGCTAGATGAAAGTTATACCCCTAGTAGGTAAGAAATTTATGTCTATTATTATTTGGAAGCAACAAATTTTAAATAATTTTGATTCTATGACATCATTTTTAGGATAAGTATCAGAACAGGCACAAATTTCAATGACCTTCAAGAGATAGAAGTAATGGATTTAAATGAACCAAGTGGTTGGGTTATCATTCCCATAAAGGATATAAATGATAGACCTATCAGGACATTTATGATACAAATAGCTGTAATAAGCAATCATCAGAATGGACGAGACACACATATGAGGCAAATTAAAGTTTATAGCCCAACACAAGATGTTCTGGGACCACCTGCATCCTATATTACAGGCCAATTTCTTACAAATGAATTCTTACGTTATGCTACAGTGAGATAAAGTAATAAAAATTTGCACAAAAAGAAATATCTGTAATAGTAAATATAAATTCCTTTTCGCCACAAATCTAATTTCACATTTTCATTTTGTATATTGTTATTAATTAAATATTAATAAAATATTTATTAAAGATTAGATATATCTGTTTGAAATTCATATATAATATATATACGTATGTATTTGAAATCACATTAGTGTTATTATTAAGAAGGAAAAAAAATATAAACACAGAATTTAAAGACTTCCTTTTCATCCATGAACTGTTTCTAGTTATGAAATAATATTCTAAGTAACAAGTGTGCAAATATGATATTAAAATTTTTGTTCATTTTGATATTAATAAATATAATAAAATGTGATATACAAACAAAAAGAAATACTGCTTTAGGTACTGCAATTAACAATACATTTAATTTCTTTGAGAAATTAAATTACGGTATAAAATTTAAAAAAATAAAATAATATTAAGTGTTATTCATGTATTATATTTAGGAATCCTATTTTTAGTGTCAAAAAATTTAAATAACAATATAACTGTTATTAATAAAAAAGTTACAGAATATACTACAAATGTAACAAAAAAAATGTTTACTCATCATAAAAGGGATTTATATAAGAATTCTAAAGAAGGTAAGCACTTATTTAAAATTATGATATGTATTTATTATAAATTATCAATCTGGCAGTTCAACAAGTTTACCTTTAATCCCAAATAATTCTTTAAATGCATGTTGTGATGTATGTTCTTCTAAATATTTAAGTACTTGACCCATATCATTATGACAACTTAAAGTAGAAAATGATATCTCTTGAAAATCTTTAAATTTATGCATAACATCAATGTTTTCACAATCTTCATTTTCTATCAATCGTAATAGTATTTTTTGCCAGTTCATAGATTTGATCTAAAATTATCGAAATATAATGAAATTTATTTTTTGATATTATGGAAATATCAAATGAAAAATTTATTATGCAAAAAAGATTGATACTTTTAACCAACAATAATCACAGTCTTCAAAGGCACCTTCCATGCAAATAATTCCAGGCTTTCCTATCAAACAAAAACCTGTAATAGAATTTTCTTCTGCTAAATCAATTATTTTTTTTCTTTTAATTTTACTATATATATGATGACTGTAAATCCAATATCTAGAAAAATTTGTAGGTTTTCCTTGATCTTTGTTTTTGTTTCTATTATTGAGTTTTCTATCTTGAATTCTATTGGATGCTACAAGGTAATCTTCACCGTTATCCTGCAGCCATATTATTAATGTATAAATGCAAGGTTCATTTTGCTCTTGATGTACAAGTATATTATTCAATGCTTGATTTAAAAGCAATTGTTGAGTTCGATTTAAAAATGAGCTCCTTGCATAAATCTCTGGCTTTTCTTTGGGGTAACTAGATGGTAAACTAATTAATAATTCTATTGATCCCTATAAAATGTTGATTTTTTTAGTTTAATTAAATTTTTTGTTAACAGATATTGACACATTAATTAAAATATTTTTTTTTAATCTTACACCATTTAGTGAAAGCTCAACTGAGTATTCCAATTTCCGAGGCAGTTTTTGAGTAAAGTTTTTAATATATTCATTAATATCAGCTAAAACTCCATGATCGGAGATTATTAATTCTTTTGGGTAAACAGATAACAGTGCTTCTAACTCACAAACTTGAGCTGATAAATTTTCGTTTATTTGTTCAAATGTGGACATATTGTAAATTTTGACACATATGAATGTATACGTCAAAATGGTAAAAAAAGAAAAATAATGTTGAGGTTATTGAAATATCAACTGATATATGATTTTAACAATTTAAATCGATAGACAAAAATTTAATCGAATCAAATTGCTAAATCGATAGTCGTTTGTTAAATCGAATGTGAATTTAAATTTGAATTATTAATTTTACAGGCATTAATATATTCAACGGATTTCAAGATTTCAATAAATTAAATTTTGACGGTGTCCAAGATATAAATTTTTTTCCTCTTCAATATGGATTCAAAACAATCTGGTTTGCTGTAGTTTTGGATATTTCCAAAGTATCTTTATACGAGATAAATGTATATTTTATTATTTTTTTTTGTAGAATGTAAATTAAAGAACAAAAGTAGTTATCTAAATTAGTTAAATTTATTTTAGAATGAAATTTTTGATGATGTTGGTTCTTATTCTCTAATAAATGGAACAGAAATGATTGTAAATAGTTACACTTACGAAGCCCTTCTTATAATTCAAAATCAAAATGGATCAGTTGTTGTCTTAAGTTTTACTAAAGTTTTAGATAAGTATTACTTACAACCAATTCAGAATTTTGAATTAAATGATGTGATACATTTAACAATTTGGAATGGAATGAATAAGTTGTACTTAAGCACTATTTCTCATTCAAACATTTCAATTTTTACCTGGTTTGGTAACTACTTTGATTTGATGCAGGTCATCAATATTAATACCAAAAAATTAATTCCTTTTCAAAGCAAAGGATTTATGTACTTAGCAGTGACTGGATCTAATACTTTGATTTTTAAGTATTTCTTAAAGTTCAATAAGTTTCTACTAATACAAAGGCTACCATCAAGTCAAGATGTTTCTTTCTTTCAATTGAGAGAAGGCCACTTCATGGAACATTTTCTAACTTTATCAACAGAGTCTTCTACCATCATTTATAAGGAAATAAATGATCATTTTGTGCCATTTCAACAAATTTCTTCTGGCAAATTTATAGTACCAATTATTTTAAGCAAAACAATCGTACTCTTAACTTTACATAAAGATATCATAGTAATTTATCAATATGATGGTTGGAAATTCATAGAATTAAGTACAAAATTATTTGAAATCAGTCAATTTCGTCAAGTAATATTATGTGAAAAAGAATTATTACTGGTAAAAAATAAAAATGATAAATGGACATTGAAACAACCACTATGGATTAAAAAAACGTCGTACAAAGGTTTGCAAGAAGAAATAAGAATATGGAACATTTATGTCAAGAGCAAAGTTCAAAGAATAATAAAAGAAATTTTAAATTTGAAAAATTCTATTAATATTATAAAAGGCCATATCAGACAGTTTTATGTCCACAATGTAAGATTTTATAACTAGGAATAAAATAAGTTAAATTGATTTTATATTTTTGTTACTTTTACAGATAAATAGACATAATTCACAAAAATTAAAAAATGTATCAAAACAATATAAAAAATTAATTTCTAAATTTCAAGCACAAAAAATTGTTATAAGTAGTAAATGGCATTCTAAAAACCTAACTGTAACTTCATTGCATGCAAAAAAAATTCAAGTGAAATGTAAAAACAAGTGCAAAGTCAATCGATTGAATGTTGAAGGAAATACTAATCTTTTATTTAAGTTTTCAATACCAAAGGACATAAATCAAGTATTCAGTTTCAAAGAATTAAATGCTAAAAAAATTAAAAATTGGAAATGTCCACTTTTGAATTTTATAATTGAAGATATTATTGTACATAAGTCAATTAATGAAATATCTTTAAGATATTTGCAGGAAAATGCTTTGAAAGTAACTGGTAATCAAAAAATTACAGGTGATAAATTTTAGCTTTCACTTTTTAGTTACTAGATATTAGTTATTAAATTATTAATTTATAAAAATAATTTGTGAAATATATATTTTAGGGAAGCATATTTTTGTTAATGTAAATGCAATAAATGTTTTTATGCCATTAAATATTGCTACAAATTTAACAAACCAAGAATTAATAATAAAAGAGATGAAAGTTAAACACTTAAATTTAACAGCAGGTGGAATTTTATTGCCATTAAATGGTCCATTCTCAACAGTTACTGGTTTAATTAAAATACCTAAACTAAAAGTAAAAGGTGGTGTTCATTTACAAGCAAAAATATCTGGAAAGTGGAGAAGAAGATCATCACCTATAATAGATATTTCTGAGTTTATAGTTTTGAATGGTGATTGTAGTTTAAAAAATGTTAAAATTGAGAATTTAAGATGTACGGACTTAATTGCTAAAAACACAGGATCAGTTAAAAATACTTTATCAAATGCAATATCTTTGAATGATGCTATACCAGTGCCTTTAATTTTTTCCAGTGAGAAAGTGGTGAGAGTAATCATTTATATGCATTCTATTACAACTCACATGCTTTTCAGAATAGAGAAACAAGTATCAGACCAAAATTGCTTAGCTGCCGAGGGCACACAATCTAGTGTCAATAATTTTTTCATGAGTAGAGATACAGAGTAGATATAAAGATCAAACCTGTTCTTTTAAATGAAACAATATTTTCTTTTTATATTCAGATAGAGTGTTTCGAGACAATGATCTATTATGAAAGTCACTCAAAGTTATATAAAGTCAACTATAATAGAAAATATTTTTCGTATTTACTTTTTCTTTTATTTACTTTTATTACTACAACAAGTGCTCAAAATAATGATCCCAATCATCGATGCATTTTCTAAATTGTGTCGATAAAGAAAAGATTACACGACGAATTTCGAAAAATTTAAAAGATGATCAAGTAAATTAATAAAATACTCGAAGAGCGCTTTGAAATATTTTAAATTAAAAGTATTTTCTATTACAGGTGATTTTGTGTAACTTTGGGTGATAGATAATAAATTATTATATTCATTTTGAAATATTCTACTAGAATATAAAGAAAAGAAATATATAATTTTATTTTGAAAAATAAGTTTTTACGTTTTATGTTCTTTATGCCTCCATTTATAAAAACATGATTGACTACAGATTATGTGTCCCTTGAAACCAAGAAACTTACTATCAAACTTGTTTTCTCAGTGTAAAAAGCAAGTGAATTATTCAGGTGGCCTGTTTTAAATACCTCTGTTATATATGTATCCTGTATATTTTTGTAATAATGTAAAAAATGACTGAATTTCAATTTAGAAATGGAGTAATACTACTTTATATGGCCTGCAAAACTGGATTACCGCAAATTCCCAAAATATTAATATTATATTGGGAAAAAAACATATTCTGCAGAATGTAAAAATAACAAAATTCTCTTACAACAACTTAAAGTTCCCTCGGTATGTTTACTTAACATTAGAAATTTTGTAATATAAAATAAATACATTTAAACAATATTTTTTTTTATATAAAGGATTCAGGATTTATTTTTTAAAGATTCAAAATTATGTGCTAGTTCTATCATTGCATCGGAAATTAAAACATCATTACTAACAGTAGATATTATTACCATAAAAGATTTAATTAGTTTACGACTTTTCGGAAATTTGGGTAAAAGATATTTTATTAATAACACTACAGTTCTTTTTAACCCTATTTTGTTTGAAATACAATATTATTATAATGTTACTGCAAAAAATATATTTACAATGCAGATAAATAATTTAAATTTAACAGGTAAAGTGAAATTATTTTTGTAAATTTTTTATTTTCATTCTACTTTGTAATTCATATACTAATAATTTCCTTTTGTTAAATATACAGAATTAGAAAGACTTATGAATTTATGGATTGAATCTAATATTTTTAATGTTTCGATAGAAACAACAGATTTGATAATAAATACTCTTCAATTGCCTACTCGATTTAATATAGAATTGCACAAAGCTATACAAAATATTATTTTAGAACGAAATGCCCACGTATATAATATTAATAATATTAATTATATCGATTTCTTCACTAATACCATAAAACTCAAAGATATGATATCTTTGCAAAACATAACATTTCGTGAGTTATGATTTTCAAATTTTATATCGAATTCGTTCATAGTTATTAGTTATTTTAACTCTGTTTTAGGTAATGGTTTTAGTACAAATCATATATTTGCTTCTTATGTTCCGTTCAATTTAATAAATATAAGAAAAAATAATAATTTCCATAAAAAAAAAATTTTTGAAAATATAGAAGTAAATGCAATAGATTTACCATATTCTTTTAAAATCAGTCAAAATGATACTCTAGTTAATGTGGTTGTTAAGGGATTTGCAAGTTTCCCACTGGAACCAAAAATAAAAAATGTAAATGATATTAATCTACAAAAGTTATCTTCAGAAATTTGGTTAGCTATAAATACTACAATACTTTATGGAAAAAGTTTATATTTTAAAGATGCAATAATAGAAGGAAATTTTACACTAAATGTGAGTAATTAAATTATCATATTAATATTCTATTATAACAATATAAATTAAATAATTTTTAAAATAATAACGAATTTTAGAATATAATAAATACATTAAATCCTGAAGTATGGAAGAACATTTCGACATATGTTTTAAGTAAAACAAAATTGCAAGAAATAATATTTCATGCATCTTTGAATAATGTCGAAGTCCCAATCCTGATGGGTTCAAACGCCTCAACTATAATATCCACGTCATCAGATTTTAACGATATGTTTGAGAATTCTTTGCTAAAGAAGAAAATTCAAAAAGTGAGAGCAAAATGGACATTCAATCAATTAAAAATTTTAGGTAATAATAGTAAACAAATCAAATAAAAAAATAGATCATCACAAAAATGTTTGTAATGAATTTAATCCATAAAAAATTCAGGAAATTTACATGCAAAGCATACAATTAATAATCTAAATTTCGAAAATGATATTATGAGATACAATTCCAAAGAAAATATCGTAACTGGAAGGAAAACTGTCATGGTTTTGAATGCGGAGAACTTGAATGGTTACGGTTTCAATAAATGGGTTGCTAATGCTTTGTTAGAAACTAAAAAGGACATAACTATTAAGGGTCGAACGAAATTTAGCACTGCTGCTTTTAATACCGTAAAGTAACTAATAAAATTAATTTATTTATTGTCACTCGCA